TGCTAACGCACATAGCGGTGCAGCAAGGAAAAATGTCCCCCGGGAAACAGCTGTTCACTGGCGGCCGCGACGAAAAGTTCTGCTACCGGAATGTCCGGTATTCGAAAAATTCATATCATAACAAAAATAAAAATCGGTATTCAGTACAAAATGGTATACCGCCCAGCACTAACGCAGAGCAACAAACAGATCTGATCAGACGTTTCCTAAATCTTTCATTTGTGCGTCGTTCGTGTGCGTTTCTGCGCAGACCTGGGTGCAGCCGTGGCCATGTTGGCCGGAGCGGGGTCRATTCAGGGCGTGGTGCGCTTCCTGCAGCTGTCCGAGGAGCACTGTCTGATCGACGGGACCGTGGACGGCTTGGAGCCCGGACCCCACGGTCTCCACATCCACACCCTGGGAGATCTCACACGGGACTGCCTCAGGTGAGACTGTTGGATCCCTCCGACAGGACGGCTCGGGCTGCGGGCTCAGCACCATGGAAAGAAAAGGGAACGAGAAGGATGGAAAACYTAGATGAGAAAAGTGGAAAAAAACATTTTCTAGTCCCTTAGTTTGTCTTTTCAGCAGTTTGTGTTGGATTTTTATTTATTTTTAAATTTGTCATAATGCACCAGATGTTTGAGTAGATTCAGGTAGCAGGCTGCCTCGGGGCTGGGCTGTCATGACGCAAATGGAAATCTATAGGAAGCAGCTGGTTTGTTGGAGGCTTTGAGAAGGAGCAGGCAGTCCGAAATAAACTTTGGGTTCTCACGTAACATATTTCATCTGCAGAGTTGGAGTCAAATGAAGGGCAGGAGCAGATAAAAGCACAACTTTACAACAGSAAAATAGAACCAGGGAGGTTTTATGTAACATTTTTAGCTACAGCGTTAAAACATTTTGCTGTTTGAGAGACAAAATGACATGACAAAATCTTAAAATTATAAAACTACTGTGTTCTCCTCATTTGATTGGTTTTTTTTATCTTCTTTGTGTTGGAGTTGTGGCGAACACTACAACCCATTCAGTAATCAACACGGAGGCCCAGCTGACTCTGAAAGGGTGAGTATTACTTCTTTAAAGGGATCCACGATTACTTGTAACATTAGACATTATTTGATTAACATTTTTTTAAAGTGTAAAAAAACTCTTAAATGAAACCGAAGCGAGTTGACAGAAAAGAGAATGTAGAAAAGAATTAGCCTGAAACTGAAAATGATGGTGGAGGACAAGAGCTGCTTCATGGATTGGTAAACCTCAGTTTAGCCTGTTAGTTTTCATGCTAGCGCCCAAGCTAATACATAGATATACAGTGGGTAAAATAAGTGTTGAACACGTCAACATTTTTCTCAGTAAATATATTACTAGAGGTGCTAATGACATGAAATTTTCACCAGATGT